ACTGTAGGGATTCTATGAACATTTCTACAAATCTCTCAGTTAATTCAGTAGGCATTGGTGGTTGAATACAAATCATTTGGGCAGTTCAAGTTGCTATGGAAACTTTTCCGTGAGGCTGTAGTCTAGCACTATGGATAACGATAGTGAAAGCTCCAATATTTTTTTCATTGCAAAGCTGACCAGATACCTTACTGGTCTTATCACCTGCTATTGAAGTGTGTTGAAAGGATTTGCAGGTTTATATTTAACCTATTTGGTTGCATTATGAACACACTTTCCTTGGTCATCAACTCCTGAAGTAAGACAGAGCTTTGGATTTAAAGGCAGGCGCAGTGCACCACAAGACCTCCCCAACTGCGAATTAGGCAATGTTAAAAGATATAGCTCCCTGCAACTCAGGCAACATGTGCATACTGCCACAACATAACTGACTACACCCAATTCAGTGGAATTATAACAGCACTGCAGAATGGTCAACAACGCAGTCATTCTGTGAAACATAAACAGGTAAATCATTTTACTGAACATTGGGAATATCTTTTGAGCAGATAGTCTGGAAATTGAATTATTGCCTTCTGACTGTGGAAATCATTTGAAATTACATTGGATACATTTCCTGTATTTTGCACAACAGTCTTTTGGAGCAATTATAACGCATTAAACATTAGTATAACAGGCAATTCAACACATTATACTGAAGCATTCAAAATTAATATTTAAAACTATTTTTAATGATTCACCCTGATGGCAGTATTAACTAATCTTTACTCTGTACTATGACATGACTAAGCCCTACTTCCACATGCAATAAATCCATAAAGTGACAAAATTATGAAATGTGATCATTAACATGTATGTCTTTTACAGATCCTGACAGGACAAAGAGCTATAAACAAAAGAGATAAGGGGGCATTTTAAAAAGAAATGATTTTAGCAGTTAACTCTTCACACCAAATCAAACCATTCAATCTTCAAGAATGGGCCTGTGACCTTTAACTTAAAGTGTATATTTTTTAATCTTGTAACAATTACTACTTGTTTAATGCTCCATTATAACTATTTCTAATATGCAGTAGTTCTGAAATGTGAATTGATATCCACTAGTTAAACCTAATAGACATTTGAGCAACAAAATACCTCAACTCTCAGGATAAAAGCCAGGATATTGCCAGGAAATTCAGATTTGATAATGCTTGCCTTCAAAGATTATGATATTCTTTGGGATATGGAGGAAGTTAAATAATAAATAGGAAAGGAACAAAAGTCAATGTTTACACTAAGATCAAATTAACATACAAACACTTCATAGTATTGGAAAAAAAAAATACTCGATATAAAATAGTTCCAACTATATAGGGACAAATATATAGGTTATACTTCTGTATGACAACTGCATCAAATTCAATGGACTTAAAATTATATTCAACTGGTATTTTACCATTCAAAGCTGTAAAATTCATTGACAATCACTTGTGAGATTGTCAATTCTAATGATGAGTGTGCCATTTGTTTCAGTGTTTAAGAAATTATGTAATTCCTTTAACAGCACTCTGCAATACTAAATCAGCTTCATGTTTGACTTCTGCAGCAAAAGGCCCAAGAGATTGTCCCAGAAAAGGCCAGGGCTTCTAAGAACTGCAAGAACATGACACTTCATTATGAAAAAAGCAATTAAAGCACAACTTTTCCACAGGTTTCTTTTCGCAAGAGACAATTCTACTTGCCTGAATGCAAAGAAAGGCAGCTCTCAGTAACACTATGACATTACGCTGCATCATAAACATAATTAATTAGCTTCAGTATCTCAATCTTTGATTGCAGAATCTCTATCACAAAACGAAATTTAAAAATAAAACAAAAGTACAAAAAAAAATTGCTGTTCCAGGATTGTATTATTCCACCTCAGTAATGTAAGATTGATGGCAAAGACAACCTTTCATAAAGGACCCATGTAAAATCTCCGGCAGAATTTAAACTGTTGAATTTTGTTGTGCTTATAAGCAGGTATGCGAAACATACCTGATAACGCAAATTAATTCTGGTTTACACTAGACCAGCATTGGCAATGCACAAAGCAAGAAAAATCACACAAAGATTAGTTGATTAAGGCAATTTACAGCTGTAATACACAAACTAGCTGATTTAGCTGATCTTAATAAATGCACCTGTTAGAATTGGTTTCTGGTTCTGACCATATTCTCAATTAGCTTTCAATAGGGCATTCATGCTTAAGCTTTTAACTATTTCTAGTTGATGCCTCAGGATGTCATGCATGAGTTTTTTTGGACCACGCATTTTTCTAGTAACCTTCATTTGCTCTTTCAGATTCCTTTTTCCCATCTATTTGCATTCCAATATTCTCCCGTACTCCGAATGGCTCTCACAAATGGGCCTCACCGCTGTTTCTTGCTTGCAAACGTTGTAGGCAAGTAGTATTAGGGCAAGTCAATGTAAAGTAAGCTGCGGGTAAGCACCGAATCGTGTGGATACAAACATCGGTACAATACAGATCATACCAATGTAACATAAAAGATACACCACTGGGCGCTAAGGCCAGGAGACAATAGGCTACACAAGGTTGACATGTCAGATGGAGTAGATAAAGATTGTGGCCTGTCAGCACTGAAACGAGGGTGCGGGGGGATGCTGAGCCTCGAAAACGTGAAAGAAAAGCTGGCATTAAGCAGTCCATTATTTGTCAGGTCAAATATAAAAACAACAAGGAGCACTAATTAGTTACTGTGTGAAAAAAATTGTACATGCTAATTAACATCCCACTTTAATACAGATTTTTTTGACAGACAATAATAAATACAAGAAATTTCTTCGTGGAGTTATATGAAAAACAAGATTCTGTGGTATTTTAAATTGTTATTAACTGCAAAGTTAATGCAAATCACACCAACCTTTCCAAATTAGATTTTTAAGCATTACAATAAGTTATCAGCAACAATTTATTCCAGGACTCTTGACATCCATTATTACTTACATAAACCGATGACAGATAATGTAGTGATAATGAATGAGCAGCACTTGGGAGTCTTTTTTAAAACTGAAAAAGCTCTTTGAAGAACTGTCTTTCTGGTAGAAAATACTGACAAGTAATGTGCAACCCACAATCAAATGATTCTTATCACATCAAATGCTGGCTAGCATCTCAATGAATGAATTCCCATATTAAGAATTACAATAGGACTTACGGACAGAGGTACAAAAAGGATGGAAACACTTCAAAATCCTACAATCTTAGAGTCATTTATGACACAGAAAGTGGACGTGTGACCAATCAGGTCTATGCTGGCTCTCTATGGCACAACCCAGCCAGTTTTAGTGCTTCACTCTCTTCTGTTCAGTAATTTATCAATCTATTTTGCGTAAAGTAGAACAGTGATGAAAATAAATTAAACTGAAGAAATTAAAGAATCGATATCAGATCAGCAAAAGTTGAATGCTGATACAATAATGGATAAAAGAAATGGAAATGGCTTCTTCTTCCATGTCTTCAAGGTCATCCCTAGCTTGTCCAAAAGACCCATGTTAGTTTAGCTCCCTTCTACTTCCACAGATTTGCTGCCTCTCATTAATATTGTATGCATGCACAAATTTATTTTCCATATATATGCCAACTCCTCCAGCCCTCCCCCTCTCTCTCTCTCTCTATACCAACATTCACAGCCCCATGACTACTGTGTTAAGGGCTAACCAAAATCTTATAGTACTTAAAGATTATGGCTATGTTAGAGAACTGATTCTAATAAATATTTAAATTATGTCCTGTATATCAAAGGCTAATTAGAAAAAGAGAGCAATGGCCCTATAACTGGCTCCTGGGAAACACCAATTTATACTTCCCTCCAGTGTGAACAATAATTCATTTCTCCTTATTTTCTGTCCCTTAGCCAATTTGACATCCACACTTTCAAAGCCCCATAAATCCAAATAACTACAAACTTGCTAACAAATCTATGAGCACTTCAATATAAAAGTAGTAATTGACTAAATGGAAAAGAAAATCAAATACTAGTATAAAACAGGCTGCTCTTTAACTACTGGCCCATTTTGCGCTACGGCCATTCATCTACTTAAGCTCCTACTTTAGTTATCACCACAAGTTGACAACTTATGGGGACACAGCTACCTGCATAATGCATTGTGTTTCATATGTCATAACATGGCTGGCCTTTAGAACAGTACATTCTTGGATTTACCATAAACAACACTACAGGTAATTTGAAGGGTCTAGGCCCGAAACGTCAGCTTTCCTACTCCTCTGATGCTGCTTGGCCTGCTGTGTTGATCCAGCTCCACACCTTGTTATCTACAGGTAATTTGTTGTTTTCGATGTACAAAATATAGCAAGGACCCAGAGGACTAATTCACTACACGAAGAACAACATGAGTATTAAGTTAGTGAGTATTGAGAATATCTTCAAAGGAAGCTTAGATTAAAAAGTGCACTGATGAATAGTGGTGTCATATATATCCAGGTTATGAAATTGTTTTATCAACTGACAGCACTATACATTTACATGAGTGGAAAGCAGATATCATCCTTATCTTCTTAAAGATTCATCTACTAAAATCAGTCGCATACATGTGTAGGAGTTACAGAAGAGTTTTTCAAGTTAATTAATAAAATTTAAAGCACTGTCACTTCACAGGCTAAGATAGTAAATAGTCAATGCTCTTAAATGCGTCAAGATTAATGAGATCACAGGTCCATGAACAAAACGTGCTACTCAATCTCTGCCCATACTCAACTTAAATACTTATATGATTACAATTTGTAAATATTTTTTCGTGCATAATGGAACATGTAATGCACAAGCCCAAATCACAGACTACAAATTCTGTTGATTTGCTGGAAATGTTGGATGCATTGATTTAAATTGGCGTAAGTTTCAACTAATATTAAAAGAAATCTTGCCTTCACATTAAAGAGGGGACATCTTAAAGCAGAGACTAACCAAGAAGTATTAATGTAGTTCTACAACATTCACCTGGTATGTATCCCAGAGTCGGATGGTGCATCTGAGAGGCAGCTCCCTCATCAGCAAGTTATTCATCCACCGGAATGCAAACTGCAGGTACTCTACTTCATATTTTCTGAAGTGAACGTGCACTTGTTCTGTGGGGGGAAAGAAATGTTTGCAGCAGTTAGCACATGAAGTTCGCCTTCAACCATAAAAAAATTTCTCATCACCCATTTGGTAAGTGCAGAGTGCAGCTGGGTCATGGAGCAGCAGGTAACTGGTTCAATCACACACCAAGGCCAGATTGGCTAATTTCAATCAAATATGGCACAAGGAGTGTTACAAATGTTTTTCACATCTGCGGCTAGGGAATGAAGTTTGTTTAGATTTACAACAATGACTTCAATCTAGCACTGCTAAAATGTGGACATTTTGAGTACATACTCTGCTCAGATGTGCTGCTTCCTGATGCTGAATATCTTGTCAATATTCAATGGGAAATTTGCACAGGAACTTTGTAACTGTGTCACTCCAGGAGACAATAACAACACTTTATTTCTATGTGCTTTTTGTCAAAAATATTTTTGAGAAGAGTTATGTTGATTCTCCATTTGAGGCGGATTCAACTGGAAATTTGAGTTGGCTTCAACTAGGTGTCAACAGTTCCTGTCTGAAATGGGCGAGAACCACATTAAAGCATCTAAATTAGCACCCAAATCACTGGTTTAAAAAGTAGTCCCCAACGTGACACAATCTCAGTAAAAGTATATCATACCATACGTTTTCTACTGCAGTAAAACATTTACCTTATGGAGTTCACTAGAGATCCTGTTCCCTCACGATTTCAGGAGGTTGGTTGTTTGCAATTTTATGAAATTAAATCTGACAGATTTCTTGGATGGAATCAAAGCTTGGCATATTGGTGAGTTTTTTTTATGAAACAGAAACCAACATTCATGGAGAGATAGATAATAAATAGAACACTGCTTTTGAACCTTTATTTTTAAAAATATGTGTCATACTGCTCAAAGCCTGCTCCACTGGCAATTATAAGGAATGAAATATTTCGACAATTTGCCACTTCAGTTACTGGATGAAAACAATACAATGTTCACATTCGATAGCTGTGGAGGCAACTGCAAATTGAATCAGGCATCTCTTCAAGGTTCAGATAAAATTGAATCTACTCTCCACTCACAGCAGTAAATTGCAATTTTGTCAAGTGTATGAGGCTTTTCATAGTGCTGAACCAGCAATCACAATAGGGAGGTTCCAGACATAGTGAAAGCAGTATTATTCTTAACACCGGTATATGCGCTTAAAATAAAATCATTTTTTTTCCCCTGGTCTTATATTAGTTTTGGGCATAAGTTGTATGATAGACATGCGTGACATATGTAATCAATTCAACTTCATTGCTTGCTTTCTCTCGAAACCAAATTTTTTATCACCTCCCAAAGGGTTAATAAGCAGAACAGGCTTTTCTTCATAATTCAATCCAGCAACCACCAATTCTTTTTGGAACAATTGATAAATAATATTTCCACTGTTGTTAACACAGTGACAGCAGCACTGATTTTTTTTTTTAAACCCTTCTCCCAGTAACTGCAGATTTTAGCAATCACCTTAAAAATTTACTTCCTGGAATTCAAAAAAAGTCTTCATTTGAAATATATGAACAGACTTAAAGGGTGTAAATGAAAATTGAATTTGCAGTTTTTCTTCCCCCACTGAAAACAAATCACATGTAAGCACAGCTGACATTTAGTCCAATGATAAATTCCAGTAAAAGTCACATAATTATATTTAATTAATGCATTAATATCCACTTCGTTTAATGGATATTTGTAAATTATGCCAACTCCAAGAAAGAAGGTGATTTGTTAACCCCTTAACTCCACAGGAATTTCAACCTGGAACTTAATTTCCTTAAAATTCGGTTAATAGCATGTGTCAATTCTACAACCTCCAACTGAAAATAAAACCTCAAACTGCAACGTTGGTATCAGAAGCTACCAGAGAAGTGGCATTGAAATTTGGATATCAGAATAGAACACAACACAAATAAATATACAATGACATCATAGTGAATGTTAATTTTAAAATGTTGGCACTAAACAGACAAAGCAAAATCGGAGCCTTGTGATACTGAACATGCTATACAGTGTGACTGGTTGTCAAACTGCGGGGGATGGCAATAATCAACTTGAAGGAACAAATTGTTTATTGAAAAATTAAACCTGACAGATTTATTTAACCCGAGAAGCAATATATTCTTCTTTACATTGTATAACCAGTTACTTTACACAGTCTAGTTGTACTCTATACTAGATAACATTGGTTTTCAAGACAAAATGTATTTTGCTTTGGGAGGTTTAAAAAAAAATCTCAGGCAGCAGTGAATGGCTTTGGAATAAACAGCTACAGCAAAGCTAATAAATAACAACCCTATATCAGTTCAAGCTAGTGATGGAATGATTCTCTGCAACAGGGTAACATTTGTTGTATTGACTACTGCAGTGTCCAGACACTTTTACATAGCCACTGCTGGAGTCTGGAGTCTGTAATACAATGACACTCAACCACAGCGTAACTTGTCAGCAAAGTTATTATCCTTTTTTCATGCTGGGGGTTCTATAAAGCTACAGTATTCTTCTGGAATCATTAAAGTTAATAATATGGCAAATATAAATTGCATAAACTGCACTTACATTTACTAATCAAATAATCAAAACACTACAATTGAAAGTTATGTTAATCTGCGACTGATGTTAGCTAAAAAATAACCTGTATGTATAACAGATTTTAATCTGCAATTTTTTAACATGGGTGTTGAGCATTATGTTTTAAATAAGGCACATTCTTCTACCAAAAAGAGGGGGAATTTATTTCAAATATGTTACAGTAATTCAGACACATTCTTATATAGCAACACAGTGTAGAGCTGGAGCAGCACAGCAGGTCAGGCAGCATCAGAGGGGCAGGAAAGTTGAAGTTTCAGATCAGGAACCTTCTTCAGAAATGGGGAGGGAAGGGAGCTGGGAAATAAATAGAGAGAAGGGGTGGGGCTGGGGAAGGTAGGTGGGATGGTGATAGTTGAGTGCAGGTAGGGAGTGGTGGGGATTGGTCAGTGAGGTGGGAGAAGCGGATAGGTGGGAGAGAAGACAGACAGGTAGTGTCAGGTCAAGGAGGCAGGCCACAGCCTCCAACCTCAACATTCTCCCCAGCCCCCACAGCCTTCAACCTCAACATTCTCTGCCACCCTGCACTTGTATCCCATGCAGATGGTCTAAAAGTCCTCTGTTTCTTCCTCTCCCATAGGCCCAACCATTCCCCCTTCATCTGACACCCTCATCCACTTAACAGAACTTGTCCTTACCCTTCGCAACTTCTCCTTTAACTCCTCCCACTTCCTACAGACTATGGGTGTGGCCATGGGCACTCGCATGGGCCCAAGCTATGCCTGCCTCTTCGTAGGATATGTGAAACAGTCCCTCTCCCGCTGTTACACTGGCACTAACCCCCTCTGCTACATTGACGACTGTATTGGCGCCGCCTTGTGCTCCCACGAGGAGCTTGAACGGTTCATCAACTTTACTAACACCTTTTACTCAAATTCACCTGGACCATCTCCGATACCTCCCTCTCTTTTCTGGACCTCTCTGTCTCCATCTCTGGTGACCACCTCGAAACTGATGTCTATTTCAAGGTGCAGATAACAAGGTGCAGAGCTGGTTGAACACAGCAGGCCAAGCAGCATGAGAGGAGCAGGAAAGCTGACGTTTCGGGCCTAGACCCTTCTTCAGAAATAACAAGGTGCAGAGCTGGATAACACAGCAGGCCAA